ACACCTCTATGACTTACACATAAAGGAAGTAATAAAACAACAAAATCTGTTCCAAGAAATAGACTGGGACACCTTCACCTGTTTCTCTTACTGTTATCTGTGTCCTGCAATTCTTGGCTCTGAACCAGGCATTCAATAATACTTGCTTCTCTCTGGCTCTCTACAGGCTGATGTAAGAGAAAAATGATGGACCAATTCTTTGAAAACACAGTCTGCTAAAACTCACAGAAGAAGAAATGCATAATATGAATAGGTTCACATTTGTTAAATTGACTCAATAATAAATAACCCCATGAAACAGGAATCACCAGGCTTAGATGGGTTCCCTGGTAAACTCTATCAATATTTGAGGGAAGCCCTGGCTGGTTTGGCTCAGCAGTTAGAGCGTCGGCCTGAGCTCTAGAGAGACCCGGGTTCGGTTCCCACTAAGGGCATGTACCCCAGTTGCAGTTTGTCCCCGGCCCTGGGGCCCTGGGGCCCTGGTTGGGTCGTGTGGGTGGCAACTACTCGGCGTGTCCCTTTCACGTCGATGTTTCTCTCTCTCTCTCTCTCTCTCCCTCCCTCCCTCTCTCTCTCTATCTGAACAAAATATTGAATAAATATCCTCGGATGATGATATATATATATATATATATATATATATATATATATATATATATATATTTGAGGGAAAAAATTATACCAACTTTTGTAAAATTTTATTTTATTGATTTTGAGAGAGAGAGAGAGAAAAAAAAAAACACAAAAAACATTGATCAGTTGCCTCCTGCACATGCACTGACTGAGGATTAAACTGCCAATTTCTGTTGTACCAGATGATGCTCCAATCACCTAAGCCACACCAGCTAAGGCTTTTTCAGCTTTTTATAATTCCTTTTAGAAGAGAGAAGCAGACAGACTACTTTCTAGTTTATTATATAATACAAGCATTACTTAATTCAAAACCAGACAAAGATGTGACCAGAGAAGAAAACCATAGACCAATATCTCTCATGAACCTAGATGCAAAAATCCTCAACAAGATATTAGGAAATTGAATCCAAAAATGTATAAAATAATTACATACCATTACCAAGTTGTGTGATATATCCCAAGAAAGCAAGACTGGTTTGATATTTGAAAAGTAATTAATGTGAAACATCATAGCAACAGCCTAAAGAGCAAAGTTACATACCTGTAACAATAGGTTCAGAAAAACGCTTCTTACAGAATCTGATATACATGAATAATAAAGACTATTAATAAAATAGAAAGAGAAGGCATTTCAGAAACTCGATAAAAATCTTTACAAAAATTTATAGGTAATATTACACTTAATGATGAGAAACATAAATCTTTCACTATGAGGTCAGGAACAAGGCAAAGATGTACCACTGCTTTTTAACATATTATTCTAAGATGTTGCAAGAGCTTATTAACATAATAAAATAAAAAAGGAAATAAAAGCTATACATATTAGAAATGAAGAAATAAGGCTATTTTTGTTTATAGATGACTGAATGCTCTATGTAGAAAATCTGAGAGAATCAACAATAACTCCTGAAACAAATCAACGATTATGGCAAGGTTGAAGGATATAAGTTTAATATACAAAAGTTGGCCACTTTAAACAACTGGAATTTGAAATTTAAAAAACAATATCATTTACATTAGCATCTTGAAAATGAAATTATTATGCATAAATCTCATAATATATACCATTTTTTAAGCCAAGGTAAAACATGAAAAATGATGAACTAACTAATCAATTATCATGATGAAAAGGAATCCACTTGTTAACTAAAGTTGACCAAACAAGTCCTTTTTGAGTTTAGAACTAGAGCATATAGAATGTTTCTAGGATATGAAAATTTTTATATTAAATGTCAATATTTTCATAAATTTATTCCTCCTCCCCTGTCTAATAACAAAATAAGTAAATGTTGCTATCCAGCCATTAAATTAAGCCAGGGAGATTGTCATGTTTGAACTGTGTCTGCTGAAATTCAAATGTTGAAGTCTAACTCTAAGTACCTCAGGAAATGTTTTTATTTGGGAATAGGGTCATTGCAGACATAATTAGAGTCAGGATCAGGTAATGCTATAATTGGGTGGGCCCCAAATTCAATACGACTGGTATTTTATTTTAAGTGGCCAATCTGAGCAGAAGAAGAGAACCACATGAAAATTGAATCATGCCGCATAGGGCAAGGAAGGAAGCCAGAAAAGAAGCCTAGAATAAAGCCTTCCCTAGTATCTTCAGAGAGAGTAAGTCATGTGGACACTGATTTTGGAATTCTATCCTTTAGAATTGTCATGCAATAAATCTCTGTTAAATTATTCATTTTTTTGTACTTTATTGTAGCACCTTAAAAAATTGATTAATATAATTATAGTTCTAAGTAGGTTCCTTAGAAACTAATTGAGATAAAAGCTGGAAAGAAAGTGTAAAATTCCAATAAGGGAAAAAGTGAAGATCTGGAATGGACTTACTAAACTGGAGGGGAAATAGAAAGCAGGTATCCAGCTGGCAAACATAACCAACCTCTCTGTACCACAGGTAAACTCTCAAGGATAATCAATAACTAAATTTGCTATCTTGATTTACCTCAGCCAATTTGCTAAATACAGGTCTGCCCATATTTGTGATTTTAAACTGTCAGCTAATCAATTGATAGATTAAATTTATTCCCACTCTGTATTTTACTCACCTCTCTCTTCTTCTAAATTTTATTTCCCTTTACTTACTGACAGTGATTTTCTTAACAAATGAAATATATTTATGTGCAAATATGAAATATCTCTGTGTTATTTTATTGATCTTATAAAGAAAGTTACTGATGATTACTGATGTCTAGAGTCCTTGTAAAATATTTTAAATAGGGTACACTTTTATCTGGAACTTGATATACTTTAAGTGTTCCACATTATGATTCATTGTTGAGGAAATAATCTGGGACCAAGGCAACAGATCAATCACAGTTACTGAAACTAAAGTGTTTATGCTGTATATAGAAAGCACATAGGATGGGGATAAGGAGTATGGTCAAATGTATTCATATTGAAGAGTTGTTAGAATTAAAGTTTGATGGAAATTGTGAAGTCACAAAGAGGAGGAACTTTAACCAGAGGCCATGGTCTGTAGAACTGGGAAAGTCTTGCTGCTAAGTAACTATGTCTAGAATTTAATAAATTCGGAGACAAAAAGGGAGGGTATTTGTATTTCTCTTTGTCATGTGAGGTCTCAAGTGAAAATCTGTTTTCACAGAGATGGGCAGTAAGAACCATCAATGAATATGGCTATACTTAGAAAGGACCATGGGAACCATTAATTCTTCTGCTGGTAAGTCACTCAAGAATTTCATGTAAAGAAAAGAAGCAGTAGTATTTGTATATACATACACATATCCACACACCCACAAACAAACAAAACAGGAGTATTTACCAAGTATTCTCATCTTGGGGGGATCTATGACATTTATTATTTCCTATTCCAATATATTTTACTTCATTGAGAGGTACAAAATTGTGCTTTAAGGAGTTGTTACTCATAATTGGAAAACTGTGACTTAGGCTATAAATAAGAGTGAGAAGGGAGGTGGTAATTAAGACACAGAGACTGACAAAACTATGGGGATAAAAAAGACTTTATCAGTGATCTTATACATATATTAGTATGTACCATAATGTTCAGTCAACAATAGGCAATGGTGGCACTGGAAGGGAGAAGTGCTATGGGTTAGATGGATGTTACTTAAATGTGTTTATATTTTATTATACTCTTAAGAATAAGAACATTTTTCAGCATCATGTAAAATGGAAAAAAAAAAAAAACAACTAGAAGGGTAGCAGTTGGAGATAGGAGTGTTTTGGAGACAAAATTAAATACCTTCAGAAATGAAAAGGAAACCAATAATCCCAAAAGGATGGAGGAAAGCTTTGGGGAGGGTAATATTTTCTTATGTGGCACAAATATCTGAATCCCCACAGTTTTAGAATTGCAGGGTTATTCTTGATTTCACACCTCATATAGATGTATTTATGTCATAAGCAAATATATATATATATATATATATGTATATATATGGACATATGGATATATATCTTAAATGAAAAATACAAATACAAAAATATTTGCCTCAATAATACAAACATATTAGCACATATTTTTGAAAATGAGAAATGTGGTACAAGCATCATGCCTTTCTAACAATAATGATTTGTTACTTTCTTCCTTGAATAGAATAGTAATAAAACCACATAATGTGCAGACACTGGGCTATACACTCGGGAAACATGAATAATACAGGCCTAAATAAATTAATGGTCTTGATTATGAATTTGAGCAGGGTGGTTGGGGCAAAGATACACTTTAGAAATCTATAAAAGTTCACTTAATAATTAACATATACATGCCAACTTTTATTTATAGTGTGAATATGCAGTCATCATTAGATCAATAAGTACTGAGAGTACTTAAAGTAAAAACATAAAAAACCCCTGTACAAAATGAGGAGACACAGGAAAGTGAAGTCTGCTATGAGAAATCTAAAACACACTGATCAAATTTACTTCTCACATAGGTAACATAACAATTTAAAAAATGCCTAATTAAGGACATCTCATTTCCTGGATTGTGTACTCAGTTCTACTTGTTTTTTGTTTTGTTTTTATATCTTGATTTAACGTGCATCTAGGTTCAAAAAATTTCAGCCTATACTAATCACCATTTTTTGGAACATCCAGTTTCGCATTGCATTACAATTTCTTAAGGGCAAATGAATGCAGTATTCTGAGTCATGTCTTGAGCCAAACGTCAATACACTTTAACCTGTATCTTTCTCTTCCTCCTCCACCATGGCCTGTTCATAACCTCCAACCCTGTCTCTATCCTTTTTTAATTCTCTTTCAGTGTGTTCTTCTGATGATGTGACTGCCAGAGAATAGATTCAAAGTCAGTGCTGAATATCTAGCTCAGAAGTACAGTGATGCTTCCTGCCCATCCTATTTTGCTCTCCCCAATGGCTGTGTATGGTGGCACCATAGTGGCGATGGGTGAGGCCCTGGTGCATGTGAGGAACACTCCCCTCCCACTCTGGCTGGGGGTATTTCTGTTCCAATATGGATGGCCCCTGGTTGTGCACTCCCAACGCCATGGTCCCCCAGAAGTGGTGATTCCCTTGAAGGTGGCAGGCACTGGCATTGGCATGAAGCCTCAAGGTTGGCTTTCTTACACAATGCATTTTGGGGGCCAGAAACACATTGTCCACATGAAAGTCAACAAGCTTCTCCTGTCCAAACACCTCCCAGTATTCACCTACACAGACCAGGGTGCTATCCTTATGGAACAGCCTTTTGCCCAGAATGACTGCTACTATCAAGGTTATGTAGAGGGGGATCTAGAATCCCTGGTTGCCCTCAATACCTGTTTTGGGGGCTTTCAAGGAGTCATACAGACAAACAACATGGTTTATGAAATAGAGCCCAAAAGACTTTCTACCACATTTGAACATTTTGTATATAAGATGGACAGTGAGCAGACACAACCCATGAGATGTGGGTTAACAGATGAAGAAATAGCACAACAACTGAAGCATCAAGAAAGTGTTAATTTCACTTTGACGCAGAGTGGGTATGAAGGCTGGTGGACCCACTGGCGGTTTTATGAAGTGGCAGTGGTAGTGGACCACAATCTATATCTTTATCACAAAAATAACATCTCAAGAATGCAATACCTATTAGTCAATGTTTTCAATATCGCAGATAGCCTTTTTAGACAACTGAATATTGAACTGATTTTAACGGGAATTGAGATCTGGAATGAGGGTAATCCCATAGAAATAGTCGAAATACAGATGACACTTGATTCCTTCTGCAAGTGGAAGAGGCCTAGCTATAATAAACGCGTACATCATGATGCTACAGTTCTTCTTGTGAGGAGTACATTTAAGAATGCACTTACTACGCTAGGCTCTATTTCATCAGTATGTGACCCAGATTCGAACTGTGCAGTTGTGAGTTACATGAGTGATGATTTGTTTCATTCAGCATTTCTTGTGACACATGCGACTAGTCATCCTTTGGGTATGTCTCATGATGGAGACAACTGTAAATGTTCGAGAGGACCCTGCATAATGTCTGGAATCTCAAGCCGTAATGGTCGGTTCAGCAACTGCAGTTATAATGATTTCATAAACGATATTAAACACAGAACTTGTGTGAACCTTCCACCAGATTCAAAGCACCTCATTATATATAAACGATGTGGGAACGGTGTGGTTGAAGAAGAAGAAGAGTGTGACTGTGGTACTTTAGATTTGTGTTTGCGAGATCGATGCTGTGAATTCGACTGTTCTTTGAACATTGATGCCGCTTGTGCTTTTGGGCGTTGTTGCAAAAACTGCCAGTTCTTGCCATACGGCACAGTTTGTAGACAAGAGAAAAATGAATGTGATCTCCCAGAGTGGTGCAATGGGACATCCCACATTTGCCCAGAAGATGTATATATGCAGAATGGAATGCCATGTGAGGGCGGTGGCAACTGCTATGAAAATAGGTGCAATAGCCGTGAAAAACAGTGTAGGAAAATTTTTGGCAAAGAGGCCAAGAATGCAAATCTCACTTGCTACACAAATATTAATACCCGAGGTGACCGTTTTGGTCACTGTGGTTTAACAGCCTCTGGCTACATAAAATGTAACCTCTCAGATATCTTGTGTGGGAGGATTCAGTGTGAAAACGTGATGGAAATTCCCCTTCTCAGTGATCATTCTACTGTGCATTGGACTCACTTCAATGGTGCCGTCTGCTGGAGTACAGACTACCACCATGGGACACCCATACTTGACATTGGTGATGTGAAAGATGGTACAGAGTGTGGTGCAGAACATGTTTGCATCAAAAGTAAGTGTGTCAGTAGGTCATCTCTGCTAACTAATTGTTCATCTAAGAACTGCAATATGCATGGGATCTGCAACAACAGACAAAACTGCCATTGTTACAGAGGCTGGGAGCCCCCCAAATGTGTGAAACAAGGCTTTGGAGGTAGTATTGATAGTGGCCCACCCCCTAAGATAAAAATGAAGAGAAAGGGAAAAGAGAAATCCCTGCTACTTTCGTTGATTATTTTTTTTCTTGTATTGTGCTTGTTAATTTGTTATTTTGTGGTATACAAAAGAAGAAATATGAATGTTCCACCTATTCCTGAGGAAAAAGAGGTAAATCTCGACACCTTACCTACGAAAGTAAAGCAAGATGTTCCAATTTCACTTAAGCAAAAGAAGTAAAATGTTCTCCATTTTAGAAAGAAGAACAACAATTTACAATTTCAATAAAGAAACCCAATCTTATCAAATTTCTCTTGTACTAAGTTTTAGTCTCCTGGCTATAGAAATGTTACAGAATGTATCACAGACCACTGACATAATCCCCAAGATTTTTTATTACTTGGATTATAAAACATTGGCCATTAAACAATTAGCAAAATATTCTAATTACTAGAATATTTCTACATTATATCATCTTAAGTAATGTTAGTGTTTAATTGCTCATGGAATTTGTCTCTTTGTGTTTCCTGAGCAAAGGTACAGCTAATGGATAATGTATGTTTGTGTGTTTTTAAGTTGCTGTCTCAATTCTAACTATCCTTCCAATTTTCATTCTGCTTTGTTACATAGGGAATGCAAACAATCAAATCGAATTTCTTCTTTGCCAGTCCTCTCATTTTTAGTTTTTGCAATAGTTGGCAACTAAAGGAGACTTGAAACCTGGGAAATTTATTACTATTCATGCCTCATTAACAGCTCAAGCCTTTACAAAGATAGTAACTTTCAGTCTTCACATTATTACTATAAATAATACAACAGTGGGCAAGAGTAGGTTTATAGTTGTGAGTACACAAAACAAAATTATTCTTTTATTATTTATTAATTATTGTATTATTTTCCATACAAATGACTTTAAACCTACTTTTGCCCCACTTCTGTGTATAATGTTATAATTATAATTTCATATATGTTTTAATAACTATTAGAACCAACACTACTGTCAGGCTTAGAGATACTGGCACAGCTACCAAGCATGTTACCCTCAGGGTTTAGATTGTCAGATTTTTGAATCCACCACCAAAACCCTGAGGTTTCAGTCCTAAATTGGTTAACCTTCTCCTCAGAGGTTCAAGTCTTAGATCCATGGGATTTATTCCAAAGGTATAAATTCCAATAATCTCATCTCTTTCCTTTGATCTCAAGTCCTAGGAGCAATAGCTACATCTATTTGTTAGTAATGCATGTTTATCTCAGTGGTATGGTTTCATTTTATGGCATATCTCATTATCCTAGTATAATGGAGAACATGGAAAGGTATCTGACAAAAGAAGATTTTAACTTTTTATACACCTCTGCCCTGTAACATCTTGTGGACCTGATTTACTCTTAGACAGAATTACTTCAAAATCTGGAAAAACAGAAAATACTAGCCATTCAACTCCTCTGTACATTTTCTTATAAAATGGATAAAAAAATACAATTCTCTGTAGCATATATAATCTTCACAACCATGTTTTCTCTGGTAAAAATAAATAAAAGCTAGGAAATCCAAATTACAGTTTAAGATTATATTTTAAGGGCATCAAAGAGCGGAGGATATAATGCGGAGATGAACTAAAATTTTAGGGAAGGAAAAAGTCCTGAAAAATATTCAATCTTGCCTGTCATTTTTCTGAGATCTTAGCAACAATGGATGTGAATTGAGCCTTAGCTTTGGCCCAGTTAGAGGACTTTCTCTGACAGAAAGAAAAATCCCCAATACTCTTAGTTTCTACACAGGTTTAGATCAATTCATAAATTAGATATTAAGAGGCCTCAACTTCACAACCATTTTTCCTAAGTCACAATTGCTTAACATAAGAGCTTTGTGGGAGGCTAGAGATCTACTCTGAAATTTCTCAAAGGTGTGGTTTTCTAAAATCATAGTATATTTTGGACACAAGACATAGTAAAAAGAGGCATATCTCAAGCATCTGTACTGTCTCCCCATAACACACCGATCTGATTTTTTAAATATTTTGTTTTATTGATTTTAGAGAAAGAGGGAGAGATAGAAACATCAATGAGAGAGATACATTGATTGTCTGCCTTCTGCAAGCCCCTGCTGGGGATCGAGCCTGCAACATGGGCATGTGCCCTGATTGGGAATCTAACTGGTGACCTCTTGGTGCACGGGACATCTCTCAACCAACTGAACCACACAAGCCAGACCACTTACCCGATTTTAATATTGCATGTGGCAAATGACGGGAGATCTGAATTATGAACCTCATGATGATAGAGATGAATCCCCCCATAATCTTTCAGAGCTGATAAAATAGTCTCATAAACTCACAATTAAAAGGCTCACAGGCTCACGCTTAAGCAGCACAAGAAAAGGAGAATTCACCCAACATTTGCTAAACATTCACTTACCTCATACCTAACACTATCCGTGACCTAAGGTAATCAGCTTCTCATGCAATCTTTCCAACAGAAGAGAGAAAACTCTCTAAAGAAGCCACCTGGAGCTTTTTTGTTTGTTTATATACAATTTAATGCATAAAATTAACCATTACTGTACATGCTAACAGCTAAAAGGAATGAGTTATTACTAAGAGAAGTAAAAGAAAAGGAAAGAAAAAGAGAAACTATAAGTAATATGAAGGTGATTCAAATAGGGGAGAAAGAGTACATTTAAAAAATAACTATGACTAATAATTTTAAAATAGAATAAAATACACAAAGTATGGGAAAGAATCTAGAATATCCTCAGTGAGTTGTAATATACAAAAGTATAAACTGAATATTTTAGAACTAATATAAAAATGATAAGAATTTAGTTGATGGTTTGCAGTAATTAGGGCATGGAAAAATATAAAATTACTTATCTGGAAAGCAGTACAATGAAAAAATTCCCACACTGACTGTGTATACAGAAAAATAAAAGCATAAATATTAAGTTTTAGAAATATATTAAACATATAGCCTTGGCCAGTTTGTCTCAGCAGTACAGCGTCAGCCTGTGGATTCCATTCCAGTTAAGGGAACGTACCTAGGTTGCGGTGTATCCCAGCCCTTGTCGGGGTCGTGCAGGTGGCAACCAGTCAATGTGTTCCTCTCATGTCAATGTTTCTCTCTCCCCTCCCCTCTTTCTTTATACCTGAAGACAAATGGAAAAATATCCTCAGGCGAGGATTAAAAAAAAGAAATATATGGAACATACAAATGTTCTAACATCCTTAGTAATGGAGAATTACAGAAAGCAAAAAGAGAGAAGAGAATAAAAATAATATTCAACAGATGTTTATTAGTACTATTGTAAACAACGAAATACATCAACCCATTGCTTCAGAGCATGTCGTATTTCTCAGAAGCACAAACAATCTTTCTTCTGTTTTTTTTCTGATTGGGAGATCCTTAGTAATCTGTCAAATTGGCTTTTTTTTTTTTTTTTTTCCCCTGCCTGCTGAAATCTTCTGGTGATCTCTTCTACTAAGTGTTTTGTTTTGGTTATAATATTCAGCAAGATTTTTTTATTTGGGCCTCTGTATGTATGCATGTATTTAAGATTTCATGTTTTTATTGATATTCAGAGTGGCTTTCCATAAAGGCAGTATTTGGTCAGAAGATGTGCTTAATCTCTTGAGCCAGTGAGACTTCAGTCCTTTGTTGATACATGGTGATTATGGGAATATTTTAAGTCAGCCAAATATGACACTTTCATTGTTCTTGAGTGGGTGCACCTTAGCACATGTGAATAGACTTCTAGATACACAATGATGACTGAAACCCAGGAGGGATCTAGTTGGCTGTTTCTTTCCCTGGTCTCTTTGTTCAGTTTCTGGTGGTCTTCCATTTAGCTTCTTGCTGCTAGGTTCATGGGATTGACAGCCCACTCTTAAATGCTTGGTACCAAAATCTCCATTATTTTCAAAAATACCCCATTTGAACTTCTCCATCTATATACAAAATAAAGTTAGTCTACTCAGAACTTTTTCTATAATGTAAATATCCCCAAACAGAACATTTGTGCCAACACATAAGAGAAAGACGATAGACCATGGTCCTCTGAGGTTGCCCTTCCTGGCACAGAATACTTGCTCTACAAGCAATACTGGGGACTTAGTATTCTAGACCCATCGTGCCTGTGGCATAACTTTCTCACTTTGAGTGACAGCAGCTCTCATGTAATATATAATTCCCAGAACAGGATTTAAGAAAGCAATAGGTAAGTATGTGGTCTATACTTGTTGGATGCACCACAGTGGTAGACTGGAAATTTAGAGTCGAATGAACCCCCTTTGTCTTGACCATATCAGTCCAGAATAGAGGAAGCAACACTGACCTAGGGAATTAGATTATGTAATAATCAAATGCCACACTTTCTGCTTTTACCAATTTAAAAAGATATAATTGGACAACACTTTCTCTTGTATAACCTTAGATCAATTTCCAGAGACATCAATTTTTAAAAAAATTTTACCAGTTAATTGGTTGTCCCTAAGGAGAGGGTCTGCCAGTTCCTCACACAATCAATCTAGAACTCACCTGACAGTTTGAAGAAGAAAAAAATACTATCAACATCTAGTCATATTATAAAGTTACAGAAATTTCCTGGCTGGTGTGGCTCAGTGGATTGAGTGACGTCTTATGGTCTGAGAGGTCCAGGTTCGATTCCTGGTCAGGGCACATGCTCGGTTTGTGGGCTTGATCTCCAGTAGGGAGCGTGCAGGGGACAGCCAATCAATATTTCTCTCACCTCGATGCTTCTATCTCTCACACCCTTCCTCTCTTTCTAAAAAAATCAATAAAAATTTTTAAAAATAATACAGTTACAGAAATTAAGATAGTAGAGAATCAGCAGTGACACAGAATAGAGAGGTCAAATGGACTTTTCAGTACCTTCTGTTGGTCAATTAATATCCATGTAAACGTGATGTATCTTGTGTGTATGGGTGCCTTATATCTACATTTTATTTATTTTTTGTTGTTTTGAGTATTATAGATATCCCTCATTTTTCCCTCTTTTCCACCCTGCACCTGGCTCCTGCCCCACCCCAGGCCTTCTAGAATGCTATCTCACACAGTACACTAAGACCAATTCCAGATTGATTTTAGTTTTCAGTGTCAAAGGAATATCAATAAACTACCAAATGAAAGCATGAAAAGTTAATTAATTACCATGGAGTAGACAAGTTTACTTAACTGAATCATAAAATCTGAACATAAAAAAACTAGTTGTTACATAGAACATGAAA